GCTTGTGAAGGCAATGCAGTCTTAGAATGTATTTCAAGTGTCAGATTAGGTAGTTAAGGCATCCAAAAAAAAAGATTAGCTTAAAAAGATGAATTTATCTCATCAATTTCCACCATATTTTCTATTGTTGTAGTATCACCTACAAACAAACTGTCTGTCTCATTTCTTTCCTCTACTTTCTATGTCACAATCCTTCCAAACTGAAATCTGGGAAGCAATAATAAGATCATGAGACAGAGTGCTGGAGCAGCAGAGTGAAAGTGACCTTGCTGCTGCTTAGAGCAGACTAATATTTCATCAGCCAACACTCGGGGCACACCTGCCTCACAGCTATACTCCTGTTCCCACATCTGCCAACGGCTCTGCGCTTCATCCCTGTGAGGAGGCGTCAGGGGAGGGAAGGAAAGAAGAAAGGAAGAGGCAAATAAAAGACAGAAAGAGAGAAAAACAACAAAGTGTCATGTGGGCACACGCTGAAGCTCTGTTCAAAGTCAACCTACACTTTCCCCGAAATGCGCAGAGAAACCACTAGAAAAGAGCACGTAGAGATACTGTGACAAAGAGGGGAAAGCCAGAATGGTCGGACTTTACGGTAAACTATCTACTCATATGTAGATTTTAGTCTGCCACTGCAGCTTGGGACTACCCCTGAGGCTAGAGTGTACATGAATGAATAACTAACACGGGGACACATATCAGGACAAAGCTTTTCCCCTGCACCAGGACGAAACCAGAACCAAACTGAATAAAAGTGAATTCTGGAAATCAGAAGGGAAGGAAGTGGCATCACGTGCTCGAGACAATATTATCCTGTGGCAAGAGAAGTGAAACCATAACTGTGGAAGCTCAGAACAAGACAATCCATTCAGCATTTTACATTCAAGTCCTTCACTTCTCCAAGGTTACACTGACATGCGAGCCACTAAGCACAACCCAGTGACGTGTGAAGTTTGAGGGAGTGTGTGTGGGCACATTGATGATTTTGACTATATGAGATCATGGAGATCAACCACAGATGACAGATGTGTTGATGACACTGCATTGACGACAGTTGTGGTCAAAAATATTTATGAGTAGCCACTGCGAGAAAATAGATTAATCATGAGACCAACCTATTTACGGTTGATCCGTTTTCTCCCTGCATGTACCTCCAGTGTGAATAAGAACCTACTTTAACCTGTTAAGCCCTGAGCCTGTTTTTCAGGTCTCAGGCTCGAAAATGACATTCCCAGAACAAATGACCATATCTTCCCTTCTAAAAGGGTTAAATAAATAATCTTTTTTCTCAAAGGAATGATAAACCTGTGAGTTGGATGTAGAAAAGTCAGAATCAATATAGATGTTTTTTATTTTAAAGAAAATTCAGATTTTACATAGTAAAAAACTGTAAATCATAGTGTCCGTCCAAACATTATTTTGTACTTATAGTGAAAACTACCCTTGGATGATGGTAAGGTAGACTAAAAGCTTTAGGAATCCAAAGTACAACATATAATAAGTACCCTGTATCAAGATTGATGCAAAACAAGTGACATTTGACTTTTTTAGAGAGATTTAGCAAAAAGAAACCACTTCTGGGGTCATTTGGGTGGATTTTCCATATCTCTGGAACTCCTTGCTCAATTTTGATGGTTGACACCTCTTTCTGACCGTTAGAGCCAATAGAATCGAAGGGGGAGTCCCCCACACACACTCATTGTGAAGAGAAAAGGTGGGGGCTTCGCGCATGTAATTTTCCATCAGAGTGAACCTATCTCTAGCTTTGACATCTGGAAACGGAAAAGCAGTTTTATTGCTTATGGATTATCAGAAATCATTTCAAAGGGACACAGACACATTAGATTAACCTATGGATTAACTTCAGCAGCGTTTTTATCGTTTTAATGCCATTGAAGACCACTTTGGAGAGACTACAGAGCCATGGTAAAAATGTTAGCATTTTTAGCTACCTAGCGTCACCTGTTTTGATGTCCGTTTTTGCTTATAACGTCGCCATTTCGTATAATTCAGTGATAATGTGGGTGTCCAACGATTCTGTGTCACCTCACGATGTGAAACGATGTCATGGATGTAGAGAAAAGATAAATAATAAGGTTTTGGGAGGGATTTTCGGTGCAGTAAGGTGTTAGCATTTTTCGCTCGTTGCTAATTCAGAGGCTCAGTGTTAGCATTGTGGGTTTTATTTTGAAAAAAAAAAAAAAAGATCAGTTAGATGAGTTTCTTCCCGTTACATGGATATAAAACATTCATAGTTTATGAAATGAACATGCCCTCAGACACTGTTTCCTGCAAGATGTTGCGGCAGTGCCCCGGTACCGGGGTCTCTCGGGCTTAACAGGTTAAATGGATGTTTGGACAAATGAAATACTAATGAAATTAGGTGGGTATTATTTTCACATTATCTCTATTTGTTTTAGCTAAACAGAGGGTTTCCTGGGAACCTGTGATTTTATATAGAACCAAAAGGTAGCAATACTACAGTTTTAGAATACTCAGCTACAAGTAAAAATCCTGCATTCAAAAGTGTACTTAAGTAAAAGTACAAAAGTATTAGCTTTTTTCAATAGAAAGGTCTTAAACTCTTAAATGTGGAGAGGGTGTCTGCCTTCAGAACACAAAGTGGACTGAAGCTATGGCCCCAGTTGTACTTTTAGAGACTCCAGGAACCATACATAACCCTGAAATGTGGAAATGCAATGCCCTAGTGGGGTAATGGGGGACTATGAGCTCTTTAAGGTATGCGTGAAATGAATGCAACGTTTATGGCAAACCATTTCATAGTAATAGAAATGTGAGTCTAAAAACAAAGTGCGTCACATCCCTCAAAATGCTGTTAGCATGACTAAAAGCATGGGCTCCAGAAGTGGGGCAGTATTTATGAGAGCGTCCCTCCAGGAGCAGGGAAGGAGGATGCTGCTGCAGCAACAAAGGAACCCCAGTATGACGCAAACCCTAGCTTCACTATCACACATCATACTGTCCCCTTCTCCCATAGCCTCATCCTCGCTGCCCCCCTCTCCTCTGTGTTATCTCCAGTCCAGCATTGTATTCAATAAATACATTCTAGATCTGCAGTGCAAACAGCAGAATCGCCAAATGGGATTTTTAGCTAGGTACGCTACTGGGATGTCAGTTTCCATAGGATCGACCTTTGACCCGGTGTTGTGCAGAGCTGGAGCAAATATAAACAGCCCCTCCCCTCACCCCCTCTCCTTCGTACCATCAAATGGCCAGCACAAAGGAAAAGAGCTGACCTTAACTGTCCTGGAGGTGATCATGAGAACACATGCACAAAACACACAGGGATGTCAGTACCAGGGCAGTGCACTTTCAAGCCAACCCAAGACAAAAAAGGAGCTTTCATCTGGATGCAGCTCCCTTGATGAAGAACATAAGAGAAGAGAGGACAGTGGTGGAAGAAGGAGAAGAAAAACAAAGCACAGAGCCAATCAACTGGCCAGAGTAAAACAAAGGGCTATCTGTAAAAGCCCTGGACTTCATCCCACCCTGTGACGAGAGAACTTCGATCCCCAGGCTGCAGGCAGCTCCAAAGCCCTGATGGAGCCTGTTAAGCCCCCACTTCGATTCAGCTCATTGCGCTCCGTGCTGCTGATCAATTAGAGAACAGCTGAACCAGCTGCTGACCACCAACATTCTGCTTTTAATGCTTTTAAGCACAGATGGGGTTTTTTATACAACGATTGTGCTTCTTGTAATCTAGCTAGTCTTTATTTGTATCTAATCTGAAGTCTTTGATCCTCAACTGCTCACAGAGTCAACCCCACCCCAGTGCCACAATCTCATGGAGGCTGATACAGGTGAAGTGTTAGCATGTGGGCTTATCTGCATAAAACAAGTCTTAACATGTAGGATGGAATAAGAACTATGCACTGGGTTATCTTTTTACTGTGGGATACCACTCATCCATATTAAGTCACCAGAGGTCAGGCAGGCACACAGCTGACCAACAGGAATGATGTATACAACCCCAACACATAAGCAAACTTGGTATTGAAATACTTGCAGAGAAACAAGTATGGGAAACAGTTCCACTCCAGATGAAGTCTGGACGAAATATTGTGAATTTCAATAAAATATATCAAGCACAACTCAAGCCCCTAGAAAGTGCGGTAGGCGTTGAAGAACATTTTCATATTCTCTGTGTTTGTCACGTGACGCAATGGGGCCAAGAAATACTTTTTCCCATCGACTTACATGGGTACAGGTAAGCCTGTAAATGTATGTATAATTGTATATTATGGTCCCTCTCCATTCATTTGGCTGATCCGAGACAGGACTGAGCAACTTTCATAGGCATGAGGGGTCCAGCCTTCAACACAGCTCTATTTTGACATCAATTAAACGTTTGTTGGAAGAGTCTTCACAGATATTTTATCACTGCTCAAAAGTGTCACCACTCAGATTCTTCCAGCTGATTAGTAAAGTAAATACTTTCTGGCTTACATTTTATACAAAATTGGTGACTTTATTTGGGACAAATTCTTTAAATGCCCTCAACATTCGAAATTATTTTTATATAATTATTTTCCTGGTTTTATCTCAAACAGAAGGCCATCGTTGTATTATTTTGGTGAGGTCTTACTAGATTGTTAATATTTGAAACGATGGATGAGCCCATTAAGTTAAAGATGAATGTGTGATCTGCTAAAATAAAGAAATAATAACAAAACGGCTTAAACTTCTAAACCCTCATATCAACTAAAGTCAATAGCATCTATACACATTTTCCACACGCAGTTGGAAAAATAAGTACAGGATTTGTTTTTATTTCAAACTATTTTCCAACTGACTGCTGTTTTCCAGTGTTGCTGCCAGCAGTCTTGTGTATAAAAAGTGTCAACATGGACAATTTCCATACAGGCCATGTCAGCGTATCCATACAATGTACGCAGTAATGTTGAAGAGTATAATAGGTGCTATTCAGTACAAGCACACAGCACCTAAACACACTTTTCTTTGAGAGTGTGTGTGAGACTCACCCATCCTCCTTGGCTCTGGATCCAGGGCTGGATGTGGTTGTCCAGGTAGACGGTCATCCACTCGATGATCCTGCCCACCAGCGGACTCATCTCCTTCTCCACGCACTCCACGCACAGCGCCCCGCCGAAAGCAAAAAGCCCTACGATGCGTCCCCAGTTGACCCCGTCCCGGAACACCTCGTCCATCACATTCTCGAAGCTTTGGTAAGCTGTGGCCGGCGTGATGTGCAGCTGGTTGTGCAGATCGCTGAAGGCGAGGGCGTACCGCAGCTCAAACTCGTTGGCCGAGTCCCGGAGGGCCTCTTTCACCGCGTCCAGGTCCGTCGTTGAGGGCAACCGTTGCTGCCTCAGCGGGGATGCCGGCGGGGTCCCGGGACTTGTGCCATTTACAGTCCCGTTGGCGTGCGTTGCTACCCTCTGCTCCTCACCCAACCCTGCCTCCTCCCCATCAGTCCTGTTCGGATGCTCCAAGAGCTCCATGTGATTGAGAGGATAGTTTCTCTGGGAGAGTTTATAGTTAATGTAGGAAGCCACCAGTTCTCCGTTTTGAGACATTTTGTGTTTAAATAAGCTATTTCTCTTCGCTGCGGTCCGTCTCTGCTCCTCTCTTCGTCGAGCCTTCTTGCTGTGTTAGAGTGAACACACACTGTGCCGGGCTTCCCTCTCTTCAGACCACCATGGTCAGCTGATATCCAGAGGACACTCGGGGGACAAAAAATCAAACCTGCACAAGGCTGACAAATCAGCTCAGGCCCTGCGGAGAGACAACAATGAAAGGTCAAAGTCTGGACAGCCTATAAGCACACTGTGATTGTGTGTGTGAGAGTGTGTGAAACGTGTGTGGGGATGGTTGTAGACATTCAAATTAAATTTGGACAGGTAAGGCCAAAGTGCATCGCTTTAATTGGGCTGTTACATATGGAGCAGATGGCAATGATATTAATGAGACTATAGTAGAGCGATCGTGTGTGTGTGTTCCTAAGAGAGAGAGGGAGAGAGGGAGAGAGGGACAGAGGGACAGAGGGAGAGGGGGTGTGAGGTTTAGGTGAGAAGAGATCAGAGGGACAGTCTGGCGTGAGAGTCCACCGGACAGTCATCTCCTAATCAGTGACCTCTGACCTTTAGGATGAGCTTTAAGGCTCCTTGCTTGTATCAGCTCCAGCTTTCTGTCACGTACACACTCCTCTGCACACAATCACACCTACGCATGCCCTTGAATATGTATGAATGGAATATTGAGCATAATGCAGTTAAGTTTTCATTAACTCAAAGTTGGAAACTTTAGTCACAAACATACTTTACAATAACTCCAGTTATTCTTTGTTAAGCATTGATAACATTCTGAAACTACCGTTGCAGTCTTAGGTTAACATTGAGTTAAACACTTTTAGCACATTTATCACACGACTGCAGTTGTAGTTTCCGGTATGAAAAGGCCATAAGCAGGTTGAGCATGTGTGTGAAAATTATTTTTTTAAAGAATTGAGAATATATGAAACTCTCCTGTTAAACTACTACTGATTAAATCTGAATATTTTCTGAAACAGAACAATTGTGATTGTTAAAAAAGCTAATATCTATATCTACAAAACATTTAGTAGTAAACAATATTTGGGTTTTGAACTGTTTGTGAAATAAAACAAGAAACCTGAAAACATCTCCTTGGCTATTGTAAATGATGACGGGCATTTTGACAAAAAAAACAGTGAATCTACTGTAGCAAATAATCTGTGATTACTCAAAATGATTGATTTGTACCAATTCCTCTAAACCTATTGATAGCAAAATGTTAGAAATAGAAACATGTGTGGCTGCATCGCTTACAGACATTTCCAGTACAATACAGTACAGTCTCAGTATTGTAAACAAAAAGTATTGATATTACATTGAAAGATGAATATTGACCATCCATAGTTGAGAGACCAGTGATATCGTTGTCACTAAGTTGTTGGAAACAAACAATAATATTACATGTGTGTCAGAAATCCTGCAGTAAGTTTATTGAGCTTTGGTGAGTTTACAATCCTGAAACAAAAGACAACCTGACGAAGCCGCTCCCTCACACTGAAGCCTGTCACCATCCCATACACTGCTGGAACAGAAGGAAAAGGAACACAACCTGCCCTTTCCTATAACATGAGTGGCATTTCAACTGATAAGTGGCTGGACATCAGAATTACCAGTGGTAGGATGCAATACATTTACTCAAGTGTTACACTTTGGAAGCCACTATTGTACTTTATACTCAACTACAATTATCTGACAGCTTTCAAATCCGCTAATACATAAACATTTTTTCATAACATTTATAGTCAAGATATCCAGCAGCAGTATATCAAGTAAATACAAACATTCCTCCTTTATCAGCTGTAATACTTTTGGAATATACTTGGTATATTTTGATGTATAGGCCTACTGTTGTACATTTACTAAAGTAAGATTTTTACAGTTCAGTTTTGCTACTTTTTGAATAAAAGATTCTAAATACTTCTTCCACTACTGTTTTTATTGTATGAGACGGATGGGAGAGGAGCTCCATGCAAACAGTGCTGGTGACATAACAAAACAGCTAATGTAGTCCCTCCTCACAGCACAATGGAAGCGCGATACTACGCGCTCATGGCCAAACAAGCCAGGTGCTCCAAAAAACTTTTCTTACAAACTTACAAAAAAAAAACCTTAGGAAGCAGACAATGTAGGCTATATACGGTGGTGAAATACTCCGAAACAGCACGTTAAGCGGATGAACACCCAGAGGGAAGCAGTGTTTACAATAGCCACATGGTCCCCACTCCCCAGCTACAGCACGTGGCTCGGGTTTTAATAGCCACAGCTCGGATGTAAACAGCACGCAGCTTCTATAGAGCGAGTAGCGAAAACATGTAGAACCTGAATGCAACATTCGCAAAAACAACCGTTCAAATATTAACTCACATAAAGCAGAGTTAGGGATAGTGTGTTTATTACAGTGGAATCTGGACTGTAAGGTTACAGATAAACAGCCAGGATGTTAGCACCTCCTCTGTACACCACGGGCTGGTTGTGTGACGCATCTGTGTTTGGATGTAATAATATCCACATAAATTCAGATTTCCATTTTAAGCTATGAAGACTACATAAATATATGATTACTAACCTTGTTGTGTCTTTCGCGATATACACAAATAAAACGAGTTGTCCTCTTTCCGTTCCCTTTCCCTCTGTATAAATGTCCGGAATAGGTCTGTCAGTAGGTCTGTGTGTACAAAAGCTGTCACAATCCAAGACTATAAAATAGTCACTTTGTGTGCGAGTGTATGTTTTCACGTATCCTCCTACGTCTCCCCCTCCTCTCTGGGTATGCCCAGCCCCCCTTATTGCGTAATACGACGCCTTCGGAGATGTCTGAATATCTGGATCACGATCATATCGGGAATCCTCGTTCATGCTGGCCTTTAAACCCAGACCCACTAGACATCCATAATGTGATAAAACGCTATGTTGCAACATAACCTGAGATGAGAGTATAAGGTTTGCTGTTACAACCTAACCAACAGTGTGAAGAAAAGATAGATATATAGAACCCCTTAATAATAAGTGTTCGATTATAGGGACGGGACGTTCGTCTGTGTCACTCTTTGTTCACTTATATATTTGACAGAGCTCATTACATTTACTAAAATATAAATGAGTGTTGGAAATCTCTTTTCTAGCCTTGTGTCATTGCAGTTCAATTGTGCCTTTTCTTTAAGAGAGAAACTTATAGGCATTTTTAATCAAACACACACTTAACACAATTTAAAAACGGTTGAACGGGTTTTAGTAAGAGCCCCTGGAGGCAGCACAGGCCAATTTTCATTCTGCTGTCATAAACACTGGGCTAGACTGTATACATAAAAGCAAAGGCGTTTAATAACAATGCAGGAAAATGCCACTTTGCGACACCACCCTGTGTTCCGGCTCTAAATAGACTTCACCACGCCAGCAATCAATACAAAACTAATTCTTGAGCAATGCCTTACACACCCACAGTTCCGCCTGCACTAAAGCCACCGTAGGCAGCTATGTAGGCTACTGAAGATGGCTGTCACTGTCATATACAGTCTTGGTGTAGTCACTTTTTCATTGACTTTAAACATAGAAATGTGTGTTACAGTGGCAAACTCATTCACTACAGTTTGACAATACATTTGGCGTCAAATGGAATTAGATGGAAACATCTAGCAGGAAACGAAATGATGGTTACGCATTCCAAATCTGTCGACCTCCTTCCTCTGGATTCAGAGAGGAAAATCCGCCCTCTCTACCAGCCTTCCGCTCATTATTTCACCAACAAAACAACCACAGCCATTAGAAATACATTCATAGCCTGACAAGACATACTTACTTGTATGGTGGGCTCCATAAAATCATGTCTGGCGGCTCACAATCCAGACCCCGGCAGTAGTAATCCTATCCGTCATTGCTAGCCTGTCTGGCTAACGCCACGGACGGAGATATCCTAGCCTGCCACTGGCTGCCTCAGATCCGCCCACTAAACTACGTCCTCTGCGTAATGCATTCAATATGCCAGCCTCCGTTCAGAGCTCCCAGGTAGTAATTGTGAGATTTATCCAGAGTGAAGAGAATGCTACATATGAATTAGCAGGACAAATGCAGTCCTCCAACCGGAGAATTCACCGGTCACTTCTAACTTTGTATGAGAGCTAGCTTAGCCGGCTAACCGGAGGAAAGTCCCAGCTAGAATGAGTGCTAACTAGCTAAAAGCGTTTTTTGTATGTGGGGTGTCTGACCCCTACGTGAATTATGTAAGTTGAGCAGTCACATTCCTCATTGTCTGCTTATCTATGTACTTGTTAAAGCAATAATAACATAGCGTTTTCTTTTACAAGGCTCCGTGTAGCAGCTGTTGGGCCGCTTTCTACTTTACTCTCCAAAACAAAGGATGTAAGAGGTCTCCATGGTAACCTTTGTTACCCCAAAATGTAGCGCGCGCAAGGCCGACTGCCAGTTTGAGCACAGCGCGCCCCCTTGTGGACATGTTTATATAGAAAGAACGGAAACCCCTCCTAAACACTAGCTTTCCCCCCCCCAATAAAAATAAATAAATCCCAATTCATTATATACACCTACAATACAGATCACAGAGTTACACAAAGTACAAACCAAGAAAAGTAAGAAAAAGCAATTATGCACCAACAATTAATGGCTTCTTTTTTATAATTGTATTGTGGTACCATACTTCTGTGGGTCTTTTTTTAAGGTGTTTAGCCCTTGGTTTATTCAATCTCTTTGTATTGATGTGATATTTTCCCATAATTACAATGACCTTTAAACACTGAATTATTGAGCAGATTTTGTCTCGTCATCTTACCACAATTAAAAATGAACAAAAAAAGATTTCTGAACAAAATGAAATAATCCATATCAACAATGACTTCCCCACAAAAGAAAGCAAATCATGTGTGTGCAAAATCTTAACATTTTAAAGTGAAGTTTGTCATTTACACTTGCCTCTTTAAATTTGACTTTATTTACGTTTCTATTTTACAGAAGCCCTGGAACTGGAAAACCTTGAGTGCACCCTTTATTAATGTTAATTAATTAACCATTAACTCAAGTCAAAATATTTGAGGATTAAAGCTTTAAAGCTTCATAAACGTAATCAAAAGGCACACAAGTGGATCAGAATTCAGGTTTATTGATTACTTCACCAAATGTTTGGAAGATTACATCACAATATTATGTATAGAACCGTATAGCACTTTCATTTCTATGTATCTTACATTGAAAACTTTACAGTCTGCTTTTTTCATGTACTGTATATATATATATATTTATATATTCCCTAGCTTTAGGGAAGAAAAGTAGACATCCATAGTTGCAAGGGAAGGAATGCTTCTCAAAAAATATTTAAATGCACTTTAAATAATTACATACATCCTTCTTTTAAAAAAAAGGCATGGAATAAACTACGAAGGATCCAGAGATTCCTCTTTCTCTGTAGATGCAACATTTGGTTCTGCTCCGTCCCGGAACTCTACTGCTGAATGTGACACAACACTGACGGGCGCTCCAAACATCCAGAGCTAGAGGATACACCGGAAGGCATTAATACATGAGCAAACTGTCGGCAACAGGTGTGCAAAAAGAGTGTGGGAAATGGACAACCACTGTTTCCCCTCATAGGGCCGAATGATGGATAAGTGGAGGATTTTATGAGCCAGCTGATATTGAAAAGCCAGGAAGAGCTGACTCTGTTAAGTCCTTCAGTGTCAGCACAAAAAAGGAATGTATGACTGCAATCAACCTTTCATTGTAAACCAACCTGAAAAATAATCATAAAGCAAGAGAGTAAAATAAATATGAAAAATCTCATTGATATGGAATTTTAAAGACGAGAGGACGGTTGTGTCACGGAGACGTCTCAAATGAAGCCGCTTGGGATCTTTGATAGTGTTGGAAGAGACGCAGATTCTTCTCACCTGCAGCTCAGAGTTTCAGTGAACAGCCCGCTACCGAATAACAGGAACACAAACATTAAAGTGACAAACAATGCTTTGGGATGAGCATCGACACATGAGGGTTCAGATATTACAACATATTTTCATTAGATCACCAAACTCACAATAAGGGTGTCATCGTTTTCAAACAGGCACAGGTGGCCAAAAATCGCAAATGTAAGGTTCATCGAATTCAATGGTATCGTCGGCGTAAAGACCTCTTTTGTTAAAAAAAAAAAAAACAGAAAAACAAACCAACAAAATCGGGTACAATATCAATAAATTATCTGTTTACAGTTCTTCTTGTCATTGAGATGAGAGTCAGGGGGACGATGAATGACGGTCAGCAGAGAGCGCTGGTCACAGTGCTGTTCATCCCCGAGAAAAAGACGGGAGTAGGACAGGGTGAAGACTTTCCTACAAGCGGAGTGCAGTAGAGAAGCTGAACAGAGACAGAAAAGCTGCAGTCTTTCTCCTCTTCCTCCTCTGTGGTCTGTTCCAGTCTCTTTTGTGTCAACCTACAAATGTCCTTTTGATTTCTCCACCCGATCCTGCACCCACTCATTCTAGGATATGGGAATTCGGGCCCCCTCGGGAGCGGCGATGTGGAAGACGGAGCCGATGCGCAGGAAGAAGCGCCTGAGGACGGCCCGCAGCTCGGGGATCAGGTCGAACTGCATCATCTCACACAGGTGGGGGTAGTAGCAGGAAGCATGGGGCTTGAACTGGAAAAGGAGAAAGTCAGATAAAAAAATATTTACAATTGTCTTTTCTGCTCAACTATCAACACCAAATATGCAGAAGGAGGCCTGCATCTACTCAGACAGCAGACCTGTGCTAACAAGCTAATAGGTGTTGTTCGGTAGAAAGAAAATAGTTCCTACATGAAACTGCGTACAACAAGGTCTGTGGATTATCTTAAACACCCTTAATAATAAATAGCACTATAGCCAAACAAGTTACTTTACTCTGAAATGCATTTAATGTTTACAATTATTTTCCCTTTTTAATATATCTGTGTTTATTGTATCTTACCTATTTTAATCATAGTCCAGTATGATGAAATTAATGTTTTTGGACCATTTCGCGGATAGTGCTAGATCTGTTTATGGCTATTTGGTTACAGGGGCCCTATAAGGCTCATTCCCAGGTTCATATTTGTATTCTGTGCCTCTACTGGGACATGTCCCATGCTTTAATGTTCCAAAAAGTCGGCCCACGGGCCATTTTGGATCGGCTCTAAATCAAAAAGTATAATGGAATGCGGCCCACAAATGAAACTTGAGCTTGTCTCGTATTGTATTGTACTTCTTAAATATATCTGTAAACGTATGTTACACAGTAGTATTCATGTGAGTGTGGGAGAGAAACTCCCGCGGGAGGAAGTTTGGGAATTTAGCAGACCTTTGCAGACCATTTACATGCTTAAAAATATATAAAAACACATTACAGGAAAAGGAAAACCCCAAAAAGAACAATAGGGCCCCTTTGGTTTTAGGTGTTTTTGTTAGCTTGGAAATGCCTCGGTATAAAACATTACTCTCTCCAATTCAACACGTGTGAGTTATTATATATATATATATATATATGGTAAATACATATATATATATATATATATATATATATATATATATATATATATATGGTAAATACTTTGTTTAGTGTCTGTAAAGTTTTGGATAGTTTATCTTGGTGTCCCATTTCATATATCTCAATTATGTCTTTTAGTACTTTTATTTTAGTTAGTGAATAGATGAAAGAAGAAAAAATAAATAACAATAAGCTAAGAGGGCAAATATGTATTTGATTGGGCTGAACTGTACTTTTAATCTCAGCCGACAAAAGTATTTGCCAAAGATGTAGCCAGTGTCTTTGTAAATATTTCCAGGACAGAGAAAGGAAGGGCGGCTGCTCTGTGTGGGTGGAGCTCGGAGGCCAAACAGTTTACAGCAGGGCGTTCAAATGTTGTGTTTCTGAGGCCAGGGAATTACGAAATAGCATTTGGGCAAATACACACAATTTAAAGATTTGTTTTAACAGGTTGGTGCCATCCAGTCCACTTTAACAATACTGTTTTATTTTTTGTTGATGCAGTGGTTAGTGTGGTGTTAGCATTTTCCTCTAAAGCTGGCTGCCTTCCTACAGCTTTAAGTTGCATGCTGGGTTGTTTTTTAACTAAAATCTGCAATAGCTTGGGAAAGAAACCCTGAGTCATGTGCTGCTGTGACTCATCAGTGAGTCAGCTGTCACATTGAGTGTGCATGAGTCATAGGTGAGAGCTCATAACTGTGTTTACCATCCAAGAGATGTGAAATAAATAAAAAATAAAAGATCAAAGCGTCACATGGGAATGTTTGAGATTTATGAGATTATACTATGTGTTTGTTGCTGGGGCAGGATCAGTGGCGTAACAAGGTTGTGATTGGCCCCGGTGCAAATATTGTTTTGGGGCCCCGGTGCAAATATTGTTTTGGGGCCCCGGTGCAAATATTGTTTTGGTGCCCCCCCATCGCCCCAAACATAAGCGCACGCTGATGCGCTCACACACGCACGGACATACACAACCACTCAGAAGCGCCACATGTATAGGCTATCAACAACAGCCTGCCCTGGCCTCAGACCACCACAGCCTGACAACGGCACAGCGAACTAAGAAGAGGATTAAACCTGTTTCCTTGATGTGTGTCTCTGGGGAATGGGCCGGTAGGCCTACATAGACCGGTTGCTATAATATAGCTTTTGATCTTAGCGTCGGGGGTCTCAATAGCGCCATAGAGTCCCCTATTACGCCACTGGGCAGGATTAAGAATGAACAGCCAACAAAAATATAAAAACTGTTATGGACACTTATACAACAGATGGAGAGAAAAGCAGTATTTGTGAACGTAAAACGAACTGACTTTGCCCTTTTACTCCTAGATTGGTGTGTAATATGTCAATTTAATTTATGGTTTGACGTCAATATATTAATTTACATTCGGGGCTTAAACACAATGTTTCTTGTCACATAATAGTAATAACCTTAAATAGGGAATTGCTCTAATACC